TTATAAGATAAAATAACTTAAAACAAATCAAAACATCTAGGTTAATGATGTTAATAAATCAAATAGTCTTCTAATATCCCCACAGCAATCTCATAATCAGACACTTTAAATATATTGACTAGATTTGAGATCATTTTACTTGCCAATAAATTCTATTTTCTGCAGTGTCCTTCTCCTAGAAGCCAGTTCAGTTATACTACTGTTGTAGGTCAACTGTGGGCCTTCATGAAAAAGCCTTATTAAAACTTAAAAAAAATTAAAACTTATTAAAAAATACATTTACATTGAAATGAGTGAATGATTTTAGGTGGGAGTGTATGGAATTATATAAGACCACTCTTAAAAACACAGAGAATTTGAAAATAGTTTGGGCTCATGTCAAAAGAGTTCATTTTACTTTAACATGCTTTGTAACTGGCTGATCTAAGTTTTTTTTTTCGTTTGTCCACTGGGTGGCAGTGTTTCGCGTGTTACAGTTGAACAGAGGCTCTCTGATTACTGACTGTGAACTAATGAGCATTTGGGGGAAAATAGCCTGTAGCATGTAACAAGGAATTCATACCAAGCATTATTTATGTAAAAAAACACAGATAAAGTAATTTCCATATCCTAATCCCCTCCAACACTGCAGCACCTCTCTACCTAACTCCCATATGAATTTTTACAGATTGTTGCTCCTTTTGTCCACAGGGTGGCAGTGATTCATGTGTTAGAGATGAACACTTGCTCACTGATTGATCTGAACATGTATTAATAATATGAGTTAAAAACTGTTTTAACCTTTCTTTTACCACAGAATGTGCATGTACTGCACAAGCATGTGCTCTGGAGGAGGGCCAGGAGCCTTACATATGAAGCAGTTGAGGGTTAAAGGTCAGTGGCTTTGTTTTATAGGCAGTGACCTTAGAAACCGCAGCCTTCTTCTACAAGGTCTACTTCATGGCAACCATCTGGGATTAAAGAAAATGGTCAGGCAAAAAATGTTATTTACGTACTTTTTGGAACGAGCATGCCTGTTGGCTCACAGATGCTGATACTTACTCAATAGTTTGGTATTGAATGACAAGAAATACTTTGATACTCTGTAGTACTGAAGTAATATGGTTAGTATCATAAAAATGATTTGTATTAGCTTCTGGAGATGCAACCCAAAAACTTTTTTTCAGGTTTTTTTCTCTGTATGCTTGTAACAACAAATTCATACCAAGCATTATTTATTAAAAAAAATAGACAATGTACTTTCCATATCTCTACCAAACCTGCAGCACTTCTCTACCTAATTGGCATCTAAATCAGTTTGTGCATAAATCATGTGTTAGATTGCTCTGTGAAAGCTCATTAACACTCACACTTTATTTGTCTGTGAATCGTATGGTTTGGCAGGCAGATCTAAGCTGGTGGTCTTGAAGTTATTACATTCTTACTCAAACCTGTGGTCTGCTAAAGGGAATTCTCCTCAGCCACACATGTGGCGGTCTGCGAGAGAAATTAGCAGCAGTTTGTAGACTTTAACCATTCTCACCTGCTAATGAGGCAGAAAGAACATCTTTTTCACATGCCTCTCATTCCTTCAGCATGACGGATACAATATGGGCCATTTATTTTTATTCTAGAAATTACTTAAAGGGCCCATATTCTGTCTCTTCAATGTATTTTATTTATGTTTATGAGGTTTTAGGTATCAAAACCAGTTGTACTATTTTTGCATTTCCATTTTCAAACCTCTGTTGACAGCTGAGCAGGCTATGCTTATAATTTATACTTATAATAAAAACAATATATAGGACTGACAAGGTGTGGAAGTAACAGAATACAAGTATTCAGAATACAGAAAATGTATCTGTATCTGTACTCAGACAAGTAACTGAGCTTTTCTAAAGCCTGAGTAGACTGATAAATCAATTGTTAAGCCAGTTGTTTATCTCAGCATTACAGAGCTCTTAACTCCTGCTAGGGTGATTGTGGGAGCAGCATTGGACTGAAGCAGGCAGTGAGAGAGAGAAAAAAAGTTTAGAATTGCAAAACTTCATTTCAATGATAAGTGAATTTTTTATGAGACACATTAACAGAAGAATTACAGGACGAAAACTTACTTTGAAACTGTTTGCAAAACTGTCCATATGTCAAAATGGTATGAATATGAATATGATACAGGCCATTTTAAATGTAATTCTAAACTATTAGGACAAACAATCTGCCATGACACTCTATGTGAAATCTGCTTTTTATAGCTAATAGATATCAGGCAGGAGCTACTGAAACCAATTTGAGACAGCATGCAATGTTATTCTAATGAGGGTTCAGCATTCTCTCCTCTGTTAACACGTTATTGATCATTGCAGAGGTTCATTGCACTCTGGCAGTTTGATCAAGAACACGTGTGACACGAACATCTGCCTGATCACGAACACCGGGATATAAATAGTGACCACATAATGGAGGCCAACTGTGAGCCTCCTATTTGTAGTAAATCTTACCCAGAGCACTCTTCCCCTTAATGCCTGCCATAGTTCCTCTCTAATAACCCCCCTTTCCTTTCCTCTGAAGGGCATTTTAAATCTAATACCAACAAATCTCAAAGTATGAGACTGCAGCCTGCAGCCTTTGAAAGAATATAATTATTTACCTTCTGAAGGAAACCTATTTTTAGCAAGTCCAACTTGGGTTGAATCCCAGGCCATTTCTGAACATTTGGAGGATCTAAGCAACATTCGACTTTAAAGGGAATTCCACTGATTTCTCATAAATATCTGCATAATTAAATAGTTAAGATGTAGACATAGTCATTTAGAGTGGTTTGATGTGAAATGCTCCATTCTAGAGGAACTTGCCAAGTCAGAATTGTTCACAGTTGTGGTGATAGGAACCAGACGGCTGAAGAGTTTAATACCTCCTAAAAGCTCCCTCATAGAAAGCTGTTAGATGAAATGGTCAAGAATGTGGTGCCTGGTGTCTGAGACATTGTTTTACAGTCATTGCAGACAAAGTTTCAGCCTGAAGTGTATCTCTTAAAATGTAATTCAAGCTAGAGTGTTATATGTAAGGCAAAATAGAACCAAAAGAAAACAAATTTTTATCTTAAAATAATTTTACCATCATCATTACATATAAAAACTCAGAAGTCGCGTTTAGACTCACTAGTGGTTTTCAATAGTAAATAAAATGGCTATATTTGTGTTGTAGACTTATTGAATACATTTTAAAAAGTATTTATTCAGGGCACCCTGGTCGTTCAGAGTCCTTAAGCAACCACCTATAGCAAGAAACACCCCGACTAACCCCTCAACAAGTTTTATTACACACCTCCATAACCTAAGAATAGCTCCATTTGTTTGCATTGAAGTGAAGTCCCTGCAGAAACTGAATAGTAAATATTTGTATGTAATAAGCCTGGAAAGTTTAGGGGGTTAAATCTATTCAGTGAATTTTGCTGTCATGCTATATTTAGCCATATGTTTAAACTCAAAGAAGCACAACTGCAGCGTGTTTCAAAAGTCGCACACCATGCATGCTGCCTTTTAGCATAACCCAAAGTGATTTCTTCACTGAATGGGATTCCTAGTGCTTTAGAAAATAGTCTGGATCAAATCAGTGAACGCTTCGCTTTCAGAACTCATTCCAAATTACTTGAAAAACATCTTGCAGAGTTTATCATTCAGTCACGGGCTGCAAGAATCGGTTCCAAACGTAGCTATTTTGTGCAAAACTGTTAAACGCACGTTCCATCCGTGTCATGTCTTGTCGGACATGCTTTCCTGTTTTTGTTTACTCTTTTGCTTCATTTTTGGCCCCACAGGCCTACAAGGAAGGGAATGCAGAGGAGGGGTCTGTTTCCAAGGTGAAGACCAAGTGAACTTACTGAAGACAAAAAAAAAACAAACAAGCTCTTCCCTTCTCTTCCTCTAAATGTGCTCTTCCTCAGTGGAATCTGCCCCGGTCATGGCCTGGAGAGCTTCCACACAAACCACAGAGCTTCATCTGCTCTCCTGATTCAACCCCATTCACCATTTCAACTTAAGATTAAACTACCTTAATAAGACATAAAACTATGACATGATGAAATGACTGACATCTTGATCAACGGTCACAAGATTTTGATCCAACCTGATCTAAAAAAAATTGATAAAAAAATTAAAGAAAAATAATTATGACAGCCTGTTGAAGCATCCCAAGAAGCTCCTCATGAAGCTGCTTGTAAGAATGCTAAGAGAATGCTAATTTATTCATGGCAGAGAGGTACATGCAGGACATTATAAAGTAAAATAATCCACAAAAGCAAACTTGTTTCAGATTTACCTCTATTTTACCACCAACAACATGTACATGTAAAATCTCAGAAGACACGTGTAGGTTCACTGGTGGTTTTGGATTGTAAATAAAATGGCTATATTTGTGTTGTAGACATGCACCATTTCATGTCATACCATTCTGAATGATATCTCTGAGATGCAGTAATTTTGAAAAAATGGTAGGATTCCCCTTTAAAGCAGAAGCAGTCCACAACTCCAGCCCAAGTTTTCAGAGTTCTGTCCCCTCCTACACTCTCATCTGATACTACAGCCATGTGATGAAGGCACGATCCGATCTAGCAAACGAATGTACTAGTATGTGTATGGACCCTTATACTTTAAAGGGTTCATTTCTTCTTATTTGTTTTCTTTTTTTTATTTATTTTTGATCGTTCATGCTTTGCCATACCTTTAAATATGCTCTCTGTCCACAAACCTACTATTATGCATTAGTTTTTGGACGCTGATTTGTGGAATGTAGCAAAAATGCCAGATGGCAAACGCCATGGATCAAAGTGAACTGAATTTCCATAAATTTGTCTCTGACCAGTCCACGGAAGATAAAGGTGCCTGTCCTTCCCTGGCCAGACATTTGTTTGCAATTAGGCCAGGGCATGGGGCTGAAACATGCGCTCTCTCTCTTTCTCTCTCTCTCACTCTCTCTCTCTTTCCCCTCCCTCCCTTTTTGTCCATGCCTTCTCCCACAGAGAAACATACTCCCTCTCCCTGTTGTGTCTCTCCACACTGCACATGGTTACTCGCCTCTCTTTAATCTGAAAGGAGAAACAGAATGTGATAGACGTTCTGCTCCAGGCGCCCTGACTCTAAAACGGAGTGCAGCTTTTGTTCTTTTCTTCTGGTTCAAATCAGGGAAAGAACATTTTTCTGCATTTTCCTGCATTGTTCTTGATGTAGACAAGCCTTTACATCAAGTCTTGATGTAAACAAGGGCAAGAATGCTGAAATTTAAAGCTGGATTCTGACCGAGGACACTTCTGCAGTTGTATACACAGATAGACGGCAGAGGACCTGTGAAGAGTGATTGTATCCATAAGACAACCTGAACTTTCCTAGCCCTGCTGAAGCATCTTTACACAGTCAATATGAAAGGTAAGTTCTCTTTATTGATACTTATTTTGATTAACACATCCTTTTTGTGCCACAAGGAAGACACGTGTATTGCTCAGGACATTTAAAAGTCCCCTAACATACAGAGAAACTTACAGACAGCTTGCTTTAAAGAGCACACCACTCATCAGTGTGGGGAAAATTAGGATGTGTTGATTTTGGATATAAGACACACTTTCCTTGACTTTGAGAGGGCTTATATTAAATTTCACCATTCTCAGCAGACATACATTTGCTTTAACTTTGGAATTTCAGTGCTCAGACATCACACACACACACACACACACACACACACACACACACACACACACACATTACATATATACATGTATATATATATACACACATATATATATATATATATATATATACACACATATATATATATATATATATATATATACATGTGGGAAATTTGCTTCTTCTATGCTTAGACATTACATATATTGGCATATATTGCACATATATGAGGATGAATATGTATATTGTTCTTTGTTTGGCACTTTAGTGCCAAGACATCACATTTGATGTATAATACATATATTGTACATATATTTTGGATATAAGGAAATATGTGTACATATAGGCTTTGTCCAAATGGGATATTTGCAAGTCTGTGCCAAGATATTTCATGTATACTTGGATGTGATGAAATATATGTATATACATTTTTTCTTTATTTGGAATTTTGCTGGTAAGACATCACATATATTGACATATATTGCACACATGCTTGCGCATTGGTCATGAAGATAAACATGTACATTTTCATTCTATGTGGGATTTTAAAGGGATCTTACTCACTGACTTTGGTTTCTGTCAACACCATGTGAAGTTTTATTACAAACTAAACTAGCTGAAGGATTCCCTTTGAAGGGAGAGGCAACGTATGGATGAAGCATTGGTGAGGTGCTTAAGTATTTATGGGGGAAGTGTGTGGGGAGGAGGTGCCATTTCTCAGGGTCAGGGGAAGGGTCCACTCTCTCTAACACATTCCTCATGCATGTTCCACAGACTGGGCAGCAGGTGTGGTACTGTGGCTTCAGATGCGTGCTGTGCAGACCGCGGTTAGTCCATGAAGTACAGACGTGCTGAGAGTCGCAATGTGTGACTGTCTCTGAGAGATTGCGTCAGATTTGTTTGCATTTGTCAAGACTGACTTGAAATAGAAATAGGAACATTCTGTATGGGCTGTGTGAATCAGAGGGAAATGTGTGTCTATGCAGCTGTTTGTGGGGACCAGATGTTCCTAAGGTGATGAGAATATGAATATTTGCTGTTTTTGGGGCTGCTTTTGAATGTTTTTTTAGAAAGTTTACAAGAGAAATGATAACATTGTGTAGTTGTTGATGTTAAGGTAAGAGTTGTGTTAAATGAAAACCCCCCACAAAGACAGGAATGCAGTCTGTGTCCAGTTTTCATCGCTGTATAGATTTCCTTTTGAAACATACAAACAATTTTCCACTCATCCAAGATGTAGTTGATCAGCCAGGACCAAATTTAGTGGCCAAAATGTGCCTCTTTTGTTTAGCACTGGGGCTACAAGGCTAACAATAAAAAACAATCAAAGTCAATATCACCAAAATATATCCCCACAACTTTGAGGCTAACAGTGCTAACAAACACTCGAGGTCAATAGTCACCCAAATCTTTTCTGTAAATATATCCCCAAAACTTCTTTCAACCCACTCAAAGCACATCCGTCTCCTCATTAACGTCATGCAAACTTGTCAGTGTTTTTAAGGAAACACTATGGCTTACAGTTAACCAGTGGGTTGCACAACAAGTTACCAGCTGACAAGTCATTCGAAAAAGTAGCCGACTGGTTGTCATTACCATAGTGAAAAATTATGTTCCGGACAGTCTCCTTCGTTAGTAGTTTGCCAGTAAGGGCTGGGGGCAACAGATGCTGCGGCTTGAAGTGTAAGATTCACTCAGCAGGAGAGTTTTTCTGTTTTATTTTAGTAAGTTTCAGCACTCACAGAAGTACACATGCTGTCTGATGTATGTGACAGTCTCTAAACCAGGAAACACTGATGATAGCCCATTTTAAGAAGTTATTCCAGAATTTAGTTAGGTAGCAAGTAAACAAGACATCCTTGTGCATTTGCCAAACAGTACTCCACAAAATCAAACGTTGTGCTAAACAGTGTGTGATTGGTCAGTGCAGTCATATGAAGCTTGCAGTGGAATTGGTTTTACCTCATCTAATTATTTCCACACAAATAAAGTACTTTGTTCTTTGTATTCAGCAAAAAAAAGTCTTTGTCCATTTTATCAGCTTCACTTATCATATAGGAGCACTTTGTAGTTCTACAATTACAGACTGTAGTCCATCTGTTTCTCTGCATACTTTATTAGCCCCCTTTCACCCTGTTCTACAATGGGTCAGAACCCCCACAGGACCCTCACAGAGCAGGCATTATTTGGGTGGTGGATCATTTTTAGCACTGCAGTGACACTGAGGTGGTGGTGGAGTGTTAGTGTGTGTTGTGCTAGTGTGAGTGGATCAGACACAGCTTTGCTGCTGGAGCTTTAAACACCTTAGTGTCACTGTAGGACTTTACATCTTCAAGGTGGACCAACAAGGTAGGAGTGTCTAATAGAGTGGACAGTGAGTGGACACAGTGTTTAAAAACTCCAGCAGCACTGCTGTGTCTGATCCACTCGTACCAGAATAACACACACTAACACACCACCACCACCTCAGTGTCACGGCAGTGCTGAGAATGATCCACCACCCTAATAATACCTGCTCTGTGGGGGTCCTGTGGGGGTCCTGACCATTGATGAATTGTATTAACTGTAGAACTACAAAGTGCTTCTGTATGGTAAGTGGAGCTGATAAAATGGACAAAAAGTGTGAATACAAGGTAGGTGTACTTAATGAAGGGCTCATATATACACATACATGAAGGGGAGTCAGATTCTGTGGGGAAGTCAGAATTGGAGGCGGCACACCTGTTGTTTAAAGTGGCTGCCTGCAGCATGAAGTTACGCGGTGAAGTTTTGATCATTTTTATAGTTCTCAGTTAATCATACTTACTGTACATATTGCACTTTCTGTACCCCCTATAGCGCATCTTGCACATTTGGACACTCCACACCTAGACACTTTATTTCAGTACCAATATATGCACATATTTATTCAGTATTGTCATAATATGTGTTACCAGCACCTCCTTGTACATTCATTATTACACTGCCTTTTTCATCTCAGGTTATAGATCTTATTCCTGATTTTTGTATATTTCTAATTTTATATATGCCTGTAGATAGGATTTTTTATATTTATTCTTCCTTTTATATTGTTTCACCCTTATTACTATAACTGTCCTGCATTGTGTGACGCTACTGGCTGCTAAATTTCCTTTGGGATCAATAAAGTATCCATCTATCTGTCTATCTATACTGAGTCCTAAACCACATTTACAAGTCTGCGCAACCCTAATGAAGACTTGGAAGCAGTTTAAGTGGGTTGAGATAAGTTTTAGGAATGTATTTACAGAAGAATTGGGTGACTATTGACTTCTAGTGTTTGTTAGCGATGTTAGCCTTGTAGCTCCAATTAAAAAATAAAGAAGCAAACTTTGGACATAATACATATTTTGACTGATCGACTACATCTGGAGTAACTGGAAAATTGTGTACATTTGTGTACATTGAGCTATTCCTTTACCATAAAATGCGTGTTAAAGAAACCTGTGTTAGAGGAAAGACAGGACATGGTAATACTTTGTAATAAAGCTTGAGTTTTTATTGCAACCCCAGACCACAACACACACATTTTATTCATTCATTCCTTTCTGTGAGCCAATCTAGATGAATCTGCATCAGTAGGTTCTCCGCTTGTCATTGCTTTGAACAGCACCACATTTTTCTTTTAAAGTACATCTGGAAGAGATGCTTGTCAGCCAGGACGGAGGGAGGCACTTGTCTTTGTTTCACTGAGGCCTCGTTGCGTGCTTCTGGAATTTGTGTTAAAATGTAGTGGCTACCACACTCAACTGGTCACAATATAATGTAATTTAAAGGGCAGTTATGAAAACCAAATTTTCCTTGCTTGTATGCAATAAAAGAGTTTGACCTACAATGTAAATAATATAAAAACTTTCAAAACACACAGTCTTTTAAATGTGATCCACATATGGAAACTGAGCTGCAGAAACAGCCCTTTTTGAATTGATCATTATGTTGATTTACATTTGACTGTTCATTCAGCCTACAGCTGTTTAGCTCCACCCATTTTTGTTGAAGTTGTTCCTGCAGACAGTCTGTAGCAGAGTTATTGAAGTGGAAGATGTGGAGAAAATGACTAAACATTGGGCTCTTCTTGCTGTCAGAAAGCAAAAAGGTCATTGCAGCCCACAAAAGGATCCACATATCTCTCTCTGAAGATGTTAACAATTTGTCCCAAACATTTCAGTCTAAATGAAATGTTTTCTGAACAAGGCCTCATACAAGACAGTCAATCTTAAAAGACTACATTTAAATATATCATTCTTAAAGGCAAGTTAACAAAATAGGGCGTTTTAATTTATGAGATAAAGAGAGCTTGGAATATGATGTTAAAATAAAATAACATGAGACACAGACTCAATATATTTAGAATTCTTCTCTTATTCTCTGCATAGGCTATAAAATGAGCACCTTCATTAGCTGTCCATACCCAGATTTGGACATATTAGGAGGAATCTCTGGAAATCTTCAGCTAGATCCAGAGGTCAGACCATAAACTTCTGACACACCGCAAAGTTTGTAGATCTCAGGTTCTGACTGGTTTTACGTTCCTGTGCTGTGTTATGCAGAGTTCAAAATAACAGCTTGTGACTGCCTTTGGACTCAAGGGTTGTACTGTATTCAAATATTAGCTTTCTATCAAAATATTATACATATACACTGTTATTTATTGAAAATAAGAGTGTTCAAAAGCTGTGAATATGGACACCAAGGTCAGGAACGCTTCCCAACAGCTCTGGATT